TTTTACTGCAGTAACCGTTAAACAGATCGACAGATATTACAAAAAGAAAATGTATTTGTGTTCGCCACAAAAAGAACAACGATTTCTTTGCGAAACTGCGTTCCTCTGCGTTTGTCTTGAAGAGAGTTTCTCTGTCTTGTGCAGCTGAATTCTTGTGCCAGAATGAAGAGTCATATGTGGTATAAGTAGGCTGAAATGATACGTAAGACTATCGTTGGCAACGTAGATAAGTTACGAAGGAATATGTTTTGTCAGAAAAAATTCCCGATTAAATGTGTACATCTTAGTGGAATTTATTTACGTTATGTGCAAATTGATCGTGCTCAGAGAAGAAAAATTCGTCTCACACGTTAAAAAAATGTTTTTTGAACAACACAGACATGAAAACGCCTCAATGGCATCGTTTTCAGTCACCTCTTAATTATTATTCTTCGTTGTTACTACCTGCAAATTCCTGCATGAAGAATATGGTTTTAGGCTTAACTTATAAAAATCAAGGCCACTCCCGTTTTGCCAACGTCTTTATCATTGTAGTTCCGCTGTCGTCGAGTGCTGTCACCTGGTAGAGGGTAATAGAACTCTCAGTAAGTCGGTGGTGATGACTCGGCCCATAAAGTTGATGAAAATTGTGTACGACGACTCACTATTTGACACAGAAGAATTTTTCAAATTTTTCCTGGGCATGTACAAATATAATCTGTTATGTTCTTTTACATATACTTTAGAAAATTATACAAGCACAATTGACTTGTAATTGAGGACACATACTAAAATCTGGCGAATTTAAATTCGTTGGAATTGGTCCAATACGTCATATGAAGCTGAAATACAATGTTATTCCAATTTAAAAGCCAGTTATCATACTAAAAGTATTATGCACAGGCTCTACATAGCATAAAACGCTGGCCTAAATTTTATTTGAGACCTACGATTTAATTTAAAGCATATTTTGATACAAAATAAGCAAATAAAAAAACTATTATTACTATAAAAAATACACTAGTGCCATACGCGTTTCAACCTCAAGAGGTCATCATCAGTGGGAACAAGGAAATGAATTCATTTAATCAAAATGGTTTAAAAATGATTTAGAAAACAAATAATGAAGTTGAGTATTTTACAAAAGCATATGGAGTAACACTACACTAGTGTAAAATACTCTGTATCTAAACCATTTTTAAATCATTTTGATTAAATTAATTAATTTCCTTGTTGCCACTGATGATGACTTCTTGAGGTTGAAACACGTAGGGCACTAGTGTATTTTTTATAGTAATAATAGTTTGTTTGCTTGATTATTTTATATTTTAATACACTACACGGTATGCAAATTTCTAAGAATATTTTTATACGATGGACATTTAACGAAATACAAGTAAACACATTTTTGTTGTGTGTAGTGGTTATGTAGTGTGAACATATTGCCAATAAAAAGCTTTTAACTGCAATGAAATGAGCGTAAAGGAAAATATTGTGAAGAGGGTAATTAAAAATGAATAATCTAATTAATTACACCTAGCTGACACACTGTTCATTCGTACGCGTTCCTGTCAGAATGTTTGTAAATATAAGACGTAATTTAGGGCCATGTCTGTTCATCTGGTGGCATTTGATATTGGAAATTTATGAGCAGTGGTGTTGTAACTGGTAATCCTCGCATATTGATCATAGTTTCTTGAACGTGTTAAGAAAATCTCCAGTACATTATCACATAATAGGCCACTAAAATATGCCTTTGACATTTCCGTTAATTTATCATTTACAGTTACTCTACCATTTCTCATTCTTTGTTAAATAAATTACACGGCCGAAAAAGTTATTATAAATGAACAGATAAGCAAATACAATGAAAGGAACACATTTCGTTTTACAATATTTTCCTGCGTCTTATAAATACATTGGTTATTAATACGTCTATATGTACATCTGGCAGTTTGTGAATATTTATCGTAATATTTAGATAAAGATGGAAAAAATAAGATTAAAATAGTCTTAGAGAAATGGTGGGCTGGATTAATCTGGTTACGTATACTGTCCAATAGCTGAATTTTGTGAACACTGAAATAAACGTTTGGGTTTAACAAAGCCAGGGCATTTTCTGACCAGCTGAGCGACTCAAAATCTAAAGAAAGGCCATGAACTTGTTGGTAACATTCTTAAAACTGTACCATTTTCGGCGAGCACTTTTAAATATTGGGTCACTGCTATTTTTTTATTATGGATTTCAGATAATTAGTATTGGGTCATAGTTTATCAGGATGGTGACCAGACATCGGAAAGGCAGGAATATCTTGACCACCTCAATCGTCTACTTGAAGTTGATAGGCATTTACATATATATATTGATGATAAGGATTGAGTAGGATAAAATTATGTTAAACCAATTTCATGGAATTACTGCATATTTATATATATCTTTAGATTACATAAAGAGCGTTGTTGTTATTATCTGAGCGACTATTAGCTTTTCCAGATGACTATCAATAAAATTGATGAGTTTAGGTAATGTATGTAGGGATACATTTTTATTTATTCGTTCATATTGCGTGAAGTATTCGAACTCTTGCCTTACAGGGTACGAGGAAGGAGTTTTAACCACTTCACTCCAAAATGGGACCTCCGAGATGATAGCACTCACTCTGCGTGTCCCGCACTGTTACTGTCTTTTATATAAGTTTTACGTCTGCCTTACGATAAACATCTAATTGTCTCTTGTACACGGATCAGGATGTTGGAGTTTTCTAGGTCATCGGCTCAGTAAGCCAAGAGAAATTTTGTTGTAGAGCTAGGAACGTTCTTGACCTCGAAGTAGGCCAGCCAAGTGGAGTGTAACTGGTAAACAAGGATGCCTTACCCACGTGTCTTCTTTCCAGCAGCGGGTAATGGAGGCCAAGGTGGTCAGGAAATGAAACAAGGGCTCCCGAGGAATGTGGGCCGTCTCCATCTTGCTTGAGGAGTTACTTTCAAATTAACGCTGCACTTGAAAAACGTGGACATGTGTCTAGGGCTACTGTGGGATATAAGCAAGGAATGTTCCAAAACAGTTAATGCTGAAGTTGCCACTGAGATCGTCTGGTGTGGGGAGCGGATCGAAATATACACGCATTCTAGGCATCAGTGATGTATATAAGCGACAGGTCAGATTGATGCTCCGGCCGTTTAACCCCTCTGACTATTGGGTGGGACTAAGATCTGCCCTGGACGTTGTGGTAAACAAAATGTGAGGTTTTATGTTCTGACTGTGTGTAGTCTGGTGGAATTTTACTGACGTTTCAAACGCCCCTGCTGCCTCCATCGCTCAGAAACATGACACAGCATCCTAGAAGACAACCATATTCAGACAAATCCATGGCTTTCCCTATACTTAGTTGTGATCCACCCCCGTTGTTCAGTTAAGTACTCAAATTTCTAATTAATTTTCCCGCCTCTTATAATGTGGTAAATCTGTAATCATTCTGTAAATATTATGGACAATTTTTGTAATCAGAATTAAAAATATAAATTTAATAATCCTCTTTATATTTTGTGAAGCGTATGTTTTAATGGTAAAATTCCGGTGACATTTAAACCTGTTACGTTTATTCATTCTGAACCTTGCAGTGTGCCACACCAATGCAAAGGCTCTTAATAATTGTTTCAGGAAGATAGGTGTTCAAGTTGTAGGATGTTTATAATTCTTTCACAAATAAATTTTTGCGGAAAAGAGGATAGAGTGAATTTTATTTTTTTTTTAAATTTATTTTGGGGACAATTGACTTTGGTATTTAGCCCGTAAACTTTGTCGAATATATTTCTGTGCCACCACAAGTTAGGCTCTAGTATGCCTGTCTGTCTGTCTGTCTGTCAGCAAGAAGCTACGCCTAAGTTAAGGGACCGATTTTTATGAAACTTGGTACAAGTAGATGTACTTGTGTTTCATCAAGACTGTTTGGTTTAGTTTCGATTAATTTTAAATATAATTTTTTTCTAAAATGCCTAAATTAACTCCATGTCCTATAATTTGAATTCATTGACAGATTTTGATAAAACTTGGTATACAGCAGAAACTGTATTATATTATACAAACAAAAGAACTGCGTACATTTTATTCAATGTAAAGTATTTTAAAGAGTCTAAATAACTTTTCTCGTATTCAAAGAGAAAATATGTGGATATTGAAAGATATAATTATATGTAATTTTCAAATATCTCACTAACTAAAGAAATAGTTATTAGTGTAGTCTTACATCATCATAAGCGTATTCCATGTTCCTTCAACGACCCGGAATCTAATTCATGTCTGCTTGTGTTAAAACACATTTGATTTTCATTGATTAAGCTGACGTAATGCCTGAATTAAATGCAAGTTTTGAATAAGTTAACTTTCCAGAAGGATTAATTTGTTAATTTATAACTTGTGTTGGGCAAGGCCGTGGTCTAGGTAACACGGAGTTTTCCTCCGTGGCATCCCAACAATTACTCCATTCACACACAGAAGAAGGCAATGGCAAACCACTTCTGGATCATCTGCCAAGAACGTATATGAACAGGTCCCAGTCCGAGAAAAGGATGGAAGGATCCTGTTCATATGGACCTGTCGCCAGACAGAACACTAAATAAATAATAATAAATTGCCTTGTACGTGTTAAATATGACTAAATTAAATTATAACTTTTTTATAAGATAGAACATTTTTTTTCCAATTTTCGAACTACAGTTTGTTACCTATAGATATAACTTTAAATATAGAATTATCTCGAGTCGTTTTATCCACAGAACATACATATAAATACTTAGATTTCTGTAGGATTTTTGCCAAAATTTAACAATCCATGCAATTAATTAAGTACAGGCATATAAAGTATCAAATTTAATCAGAATCACTTCCTGTAAGGATTGTGTTTGTTTTATCTGAACATATCAATCATGAGCCCTGACAAGAAATCAGATCAGTGTGTAGGCAAGGATAATTTACTAGGATGTTTTAAGGGGGGGAGGGGTTGCATGAATTTCCTGTATCGAAACATGTATGGTCCTTCTAGACCTATTTATTTCACAACAAAAGGCGAAACAGGAGATGAATATTATAATAAAAATGTTTAGTGGAGAACATTAATTAGTAGTCCCTTAGCATATAATTACAATGACGAACTCTAGGTGTGAAGTTAAATATGATTAAGTATTTAAAATTAAATACAGTTGTACACGCTGTGAATATGATTGATTTCTTGAGAAAATCACTCTTGAAAACAGATAGCCTTAACATTTCTTTAACAGTTGCGGGAGGACAACGTTGTACCTGTTAGTGCTGCAGCCTAGTGTCGCAAAATAGAACTGTTCTGTGTGACTTCAACGAGAAACGACCTTGTTTCCTTTAATCATTGTTTATCAGTCTACCTCTCACATGTGTCGTACGAAATGCAGAGAGTAGTCATTTTGTCGCTTTGCTAATAAGTGAGCAAATGCAGACTGTGTTTATCAGTCTACCTCTCACATGTGTAGTACGAAATGCAGAGAGTAGCCATTTTGTCGCTTTCCTGATCAGTGAGCAAATGCAGACTACTCTCTGGATTCCGGTTCCAGACAGGAATAGGGAATTTTTTCTTATTCGCCACATGAAGTTGGCATTTCTGGCCCACCCAGTCTCCTTCGTAACGGGTGATTTCTTCACGGGGTAAAGCGGCCGGACGTGATGCTGACCCTTATCTCCATAATGAAGAATTTAGGAATGAGTGGAGGTTTACCTCAACTGCCCCTAAGTCGTTATGGTTCGGTGCTTAAACACAGGGACAACCATTCTTTGCCTTTCTATATATGTGATATAACAACAGGTGAATATTTTCAAATTCTCGAGAACTGTTCACTGTTTCCCTGGCGTGATGAACTTCGTTGTTCTTAAGATATTTCGTGATGATTTTAAAACTGTAGAGGTTTAAATTACGTAGTATCAAACGACGCTTGGAAATTATCATAATATTGAATATGCTTATATAAGGATAGCATAGTTTATATTGTACTATTTTGAAAGCATTATCCTGGCTCTAAGAGTTGTAAGAAAATCATTAAATACGTCAGGAAAACGAGTATCGATAGAGGATAAATCCTGTAAATTCACCGCTGCATCAAAGTGCTCGGTGTTGCGTACCTGAGTGTGATGTTCGTCTCTGTAATTGGCTATTATGATTGAGGGTCTTAGGGATTTCTCAGATCCTCCAGGCAATATTATTAGATGGTATATAATTCGTAAAATAACTTTGCTCCATTCCTAAGCACCAAATCATAAAAACGTATTCTGAAGATGGCTGCCTTCTGATATGTTGCGCCGTGTTATCCGGTCGCATTACCCTAATAACTGAAGACCATAATTTCCTCTGAAATGCCCGTAAATATATACCAGACTACATATCTTAACAAGGCGAATCCTAACCTAAATATTGAATGAAAATAAGTGATCAGCTTCACGCTCCGGCCGCTTCAAACTTGTAGAAAGACCCCCCTTGTGCTGATTTGATCTGCGATTGGGTGGGCTTAAAATCCGTTCTGGATGTGTTAGTAAGAAATAAATCCCTACCCTTCCGAGCATCGAATCTCTGTTGTCCAGCTCCTACTCAGTCACTTTAGTGCCTGAACTGTTGCTGCTCACGTATAGTTTACAAATACTACGACCACGACAAGAAGGTTCGCGGACCTCAGTTTTATATCAACTTTAATTGAACTAATAAATACACTTAAATATCCCAGCTGCCAGGAACTGTTTCACTTAGCAGCTGACGCTGGAGCTGCAACTGCGGGCCTGTCCCATGTGGCAGGGTAATATCCCCTGTAGGCGTATTCACCCCTATAGTAAGGGTCTGCGCGATAGGGGTGTTCCGCCGGCGGTGGTACCGACCGACTCCAACCCAAATAGTCACTGTGATATATATCGGGTACGATGTGGGGTCTCACGAACCCTAGCGAGAACCGAGTGCTTGGAGACCCGTGGCTGTCGCCACCGGAGAACAGCGCCTTAAGTCCGAGGACTCCGGTCACCATCAGGGCCGACAGGCCAGCCCACAAGCCCTTGAAGGCCAGGAGAGTCACGACGGCTATCGCTATGGGAGTCAGGATAGCGAAATTCAGCTCCAGGAAAAGTATTAGCGGCAGAAGTAATCTCTTCAGTCTTCCGCGTCCTGGAACAAAGTATAAGCAGCTTGTTATTGTTACGCGCGTTGGGATTAATAATGTATAAAGAAGGATTTGATCCTATAACAAAATTAGTGATAAGATGGTAAAGTTGCGTCATATTGTGATATAATAAGTATATATTAAACCTTGTCCGTCTAATCACAATAAATATTTAATATTTTAAATATTTTAAATGTTATTATTGTAATATTTTAATATTTAATAAGAATTTATTGTGATTAGACGTACAAGATTTAATATATACTTATTATATCACAATATGACGCAACTTTACCATCTTATGAATAGTCGTCAAACTAAATGCGTTTATCAATATATAAACATAAAACGTAAATTATTAAAATGCAACGCCATCAGAAACATCATTTAATATTTTAAATATTTTAAATGTTAATTATTGTAATATTATAATATTTAATAAGAATTTATTGTGATTAGACGGACAAGATTTAATATATAAAATTAGTGATGCTCACGAAGAATCTTCACATTTTGAAAATGTTTCTGTCTCCTGTTACTTAGGAACAAATATTACCTTCAGTAAAGATACTTGAAGGATACAGAATTCAAGCTATGTGTTTACGCTTTTTTACATCGGATACAGAATTCAAGCTATGTGTTTACACTTTTTTACTTGTGAAAAATACATTTATTATGGTCATGTATTTGTATTTTGGTTTGTGGTGTGACTGTCGTATTTTAATTTAAATGGTCTCATCTCCTGTTCTTATTCAGGTCAAGATATTTGGCGTAAAGGCGGCCAATCTTATCAATATGCATCACACGTTTGTTCTTTGTCCTAGAAGGAGGCGATTACAAAAATTGTTTATTCCACTCATGTTGTCTTAGGCTGGCCTTGGGGGAAGTTCAAAACCGAAGCTGTTTGTTTCAACAAACTGACTTTTACGATCTTTTAGAAAAACCGATACGAAATACTCAGAGGCACATGGACGTATATAATTAATAAATCTCAGCTTCTGATTAATGGAATTTCTCCTTACTGTCTCGCCAAGCCTATTGGCTTCAACAGACATGGAATCCCAGAAGCTTACATGAGATTTTCGATTCTTTTACGTAAAAAAACAAACAATAACAAATTAAACAGTAGGCTATGTTCTGTAAAAAAAATAAGGCACAAATTGGAATTTAAAATTATTCTCTGAAATAAACGTCTTTCCGAGTTATACCGCTCGTTTCCAAACTGAAATTTTATTTTTTCAATGTCTTCATTCTGCGCTCGAAAGCGTTCTTCCTGTCAAATGTTCAAAATGACTATTTGGAAGTTGGTTTTGCCAAAAACGTGGCTGGTCGAGGTGCTTGGCCTCGTAACCGTTGTCATTTGCATTCATTTGAAACAGACGCATATCTAATGCTCCAAGGAATCAGTAAACATGTATTTTTATGACCCAAGGGAAATGTTTTTGAATTTTAAAACTGTTACAGTTGCCCTGTTTATGTGTTTATCATATCATTATACTTCTTAACGTTGTAGTTGGATACCGTTAATGAAAGAAACGCTGGTGTCCTGAGACACGGAATTTGTACTTCGTAAACTGCTGGTAGGTTTGGTGATTGCGAAACTGAAGTGGATATCTAGAAAGATTATCTGACTGAGCTGTGGGTCCTTTGAACCACGCACATGTCTCCGTGTATTTAATTACTGTCTTGTATTGGTACGACTGCAGTAGAGAATCAACGAAATTACGACGCTGAATCGGAAATTTCGGAAAGGAATGAGGTCTACAACTCCGAAAGGCTCAAACACCCAACTGTTTCGGAGTGTATAAGTCTTTGCATTAACTTACAGCCCGTACAAACACTCGCATCTCTTTTGAGTTTCGACAAGAAAGAATTAAATTAAAAATATTTACATAGTAAGTGCTAAGTCCGGTGAAAATGTATAGGAAATTTGTATACGAAACTCTGTAATAAAGTAAGATCCATCTTTTTTGGGTTTTACTTCGTAACGTTTCTCATATGTCTGTAAGCATTAGGTACATTATAAACGCGTCTTCTCGGCTTTTAAATCAGGAGAGTGGGACCTAGAGCCGATGTTGAAAAAGGACTTCCTTTCCGGGAATCTAACCCCGTCATTCAGTTAACAGTCAGCACTATCTTTGTGGGTATTAATAACTGTAATCATCTCTTCACTTGAAAATTATTATTAATCTTAAGTGTTTCACATGTAGAATTTGAAGTTTTCGCGGCGGTGAGTCCGAAGATGGCTTGTCTTCTGGGATGTAATCTGGTAGAAGTTTATCGGCGCTTCAGAGGTCATTGCTACCTCCATCATCAGGCCGATGAAGAAATTTCTCCTGTACCCATTAGACTATGTCTAATACATAACTTTATTTAATACTTGAAAAAAGGGAGGCTTCAGGACAGTAATTCTTGCCTCGTTTACTTCCTTTGTGGACCAGATATATCAGTACATATTTGTTCTTCCCTTAGGGGAAGTAACCAAGCCCCACATATCTAGAAAACACTAGTGCAATTATAGTACGTTTGTCTTTCCTTAGAGGTATATACCAGGTTTAACACCGATACAAAACCAAACTAAAATACTAGTTCTGTACATATTAATGTTCGTATTTTCTCTCGAGGAAAATACCAGGTTTTATACAGGTACAAATAACGAGTAAAAATATAATTGTATTATCACACTCTTTATGTATTAATCAACGGCCAGGAAGATAAAGTATATAGCATTGAATAGTAGCAAAGATTTCTTGATTTCATTGTTTCTTCATAATCTTAAATATTTTGAGTTATTACTGTGTTTCTTAAGTATTTGAGCTTTTCCACAATTTTATTATCATATGTGCCCTTTTAGTGGTAACATAAGTTAGTACCGATTATTAAAATCAGTAGGCTATTATTTAGTGATAGATCGTGAAAGACACATTGTGAAACGCCCTGTGACTATTACTGTTACAGCAGGACACGTGGTTCTCGTTCCGTCCCGTAAAATTTCATAAAATAAGCCACGACTTCTTCCCACGTCGATCAAAAGTAATTTTCAAATATAACTTTTCTAGTCGCTGATACGTATAAAATGTGTTGTTTTGAAAGTATTGAAAAACTCAAAATAATAAAATACAATTGGTATTTGAATTGTGGGTGTTTTTATTATAATGGCCGTTTGAAGACAAATTACGAAATGTTTTAGGAAGTTTTGCTTTTTAAGGTAGGAGGTCGAAATGTAATTCGATGTGATCTGAAATCATTTACGCACCTGGAATTAAAATCAACTGAAAATGGGCAAATCTCCAGCCTTTCCATACGAGTTTCTAGTTCTTGGAACTACAGACTAACATCTGTTCCCATTCCTTTCTTGATCTTTCTAACATGATTTTAAGATTTATTCCGGTCGGTGCGTGTTTTACTAAAATATCTTTTAATTTTCTGACCTTATTTCAGAGGCCACTATTTCCCCTCAGTGGGCCAATGACTGACACGGAAGCTGTCCTGGTAAAAGTAGGTTTCTGATTAACCACGCGGCTCTGAATGTGGAGTAGATCAGTCGGGAAGTGGATCTCTAGCAACAGGTGCATCTGTGTCCCACTAAAAGCACGCTTTCAGTTTCCAACAAAACGTAATATAGACAAAGTAATTGTTTTTTTCAAAGAAATTTATTATTGCGCAAACTGTGGTCCGCCCGCCGTATCTGGGCCGCGTGACTTGTCAGTGTGGCCCAGAGATTCATATAGTTTTTTTTTACATCCGTTACGTGGTTAGTATTCCACAAATTTGCTTTATATTAAATGAATCATATTGTCGATAAATTATTTCTCCTTTTGATAGTATATGAAAAATAAGTCCTCCTGAGATTTTTCTCTGCACAGCACACACTGTCTTATACGATACTGAAATACACGTTAGATTAAAATATATAAGACAGAAAATGTTTAAAATATTAAAGAATAAACTAATGTTCAAATTATTTTGAATATATTTTAAAAATGGGGTTCTTTGGAGATCTGTATGCCTCGTTAGCCTTGGTATTTATTTATTATATGTGCTGATCCTTTATCGTAAAAATAATGCCACTACAGATAACCTATCACATTGTCCAGAAAACTCTCTTTAGACAGCTAGGTATATACATTTATAGAGATAAATTTTTATACGTTTTATAATAGATTCATTCAGTACACGTATATAAAATCTGATGACAATTTAGCAAACATGGCCTCGGACAGTTGTTCATTAGTGGTAAATTAATATTTTCCTTCTGTTTTCACCCTGAAATCCAAAATGTTCGGATCCCTTCTGTTGGTATTTTCCAACCAAAATTTTATATGCGCGGTTGGCATCAGATGCGTGCTACATATCTTACCCAATGTATTTTTCATTTGTTTACCATCATGACACTGGGTGAGAAATGTACATTGTCAACATCTTCAGCAATTTATAAATTTCTATAACTTATGTAATTTTTTTTCTCTCGAGATTTTCTCACTTCGTAAACAAATTCCCTGGCGTTATTTTACATGAAGGTTCATTAAGACGTTATCTAAACGTCATTCAGCTGATTTTAATCCGAACGTTGTTTGTATACGACACGTCTTAAACTTTCCCTTAAGAACCGCACTATTTTGTAGTACGAATTGAAAATTAAATTGAAACAGCATAATTTACGAAAATCAACATAGTCTGATTTTGTTGATAAGTTAAATTTGTAAAGGATGAGTTGGCCGAGACATTTAGCACCGAAAAAGAGAAACAAAGGCATGTTTGGGAAAGACCAGTTGAAAACTCAGGCAAATACATTGGAACTATTGTTATAAATGTATTTGAAATAAATTGGATTTGAAGAAGTAAAATGGACTTGAGTGATTCAGTGCTGGTGGCGATTTTAAATTTAAGGGCTTCATAACAAAAAAATAATTTATTTTTTGGCTGAATATCAATTTCTGAGCGTGGACGTTCAAGGTAATTTTATAGCAGAGGTTAAAACCATTCTACGAATTGTTGT